CCCACACACACACACTGCACCCAGACACACACACACTGCACCCAGACACACACAGTGCACCCAGACACACACACTGCACCCAGACACACACAGCGCACCCAGACACACACAGCGCACCCAGACACACACAGCACCCAGACACACACAGCACACCCAGACACACACAGCGCACCCAGACACACACTGCACCCAGACACACTGCACCCACAGACACACACTGCACCCAGACACACACTGCACCCACAGACACACACAGCACCCACAGACACACACAGCGCACCCAGACTCACACAGCGCACCCAGACTCACACAGCGCACCCAGACTCACACAGCGCACTCAGACACACACAGCGTACCCAGACACACACAGCACCCCCCAGACACACACAGCACACTCCCACACATATACAGCACACACATATATATATATATATATATATATATATATATAAAATAACCCTCAGTGAGTTAACAGACAAAGAAAATTAGAAACCTAGAATGTGACAGCAGATAAAAACACCCTCACACACAGCACCCCTCTTACATACACACACTGCGCCCCTCACACATACAATAAGTCCAAATATATATATATATATACATACACACACACACACACTACAGCACCACTCACACTGCACCACTACACACATTACGCTCCAGATACACACTAGATCCCTTACTCTATATGCACTCTTTATCCTCTATACACACACACACACACTGGGTCCTTTACACAGTAGATCTCCTACACACACACACTACATTCCTTGTCAGCAAACACATACAACATTCTCTAAACACACCCTCTCTGCAACCCCTACACACACTACGTCACCTATACACACACACTTCAGCCCGTATGCACACACTCGCTGCATCCCCTATAAAACTATGCCCCCTATACACACACTCTCTACAGCCCCTAGCCACACATATTACACCACAAACACAAATTAAATTGACCTATTTACACAATACCACACCACACTCTACACACACGCAATCCCACAAGCAGGCTCCAAACATATGCACCATGCACTTTCCATTTGTCCTCTGGTATCCCACTTGTGGAGACACCAGAGACAATTTAAAAGCAAACACAGCACAAGCATGTTATTTCATTTGCTTGCGCTGCGCAGAACAAATTCAGGGCCTTTTTCTAATGCCAGAGCTCTTCAGCAGGGCTCTGGGCATTGAACCAACATGCTCACTTTGAGAGGGGGTGTGTTGTCATTAGTGATGACAAAACACACACTCTCTGGCCCCGCCCCCTTCTTAGGGGGCCGCTCTGATTGAAAAATGCCCGGGCCTAATTTTTTTCCCAGTCCGGCCCTGGTTGAAGGAACAGTGGTTATACTACTTGAAGCTATCAATGGCTGCAACCAGATTTTTGAGAAGGCAGGTTGTAAAAAATTCTTGAGTGACTGCAAAAGACCTGCACCAAGACTTGGTGGAAACAGGCACTCAGGTTTCCGTGAGCACAGTAAGGCGCGTACTAAAAGCAGAAGGTTTCCATGCCCTAACTCCAAGACGTACACAACTACTGACCCAAGAGCACAAGAAAGGTTGGCTCCAATATGCTCAAAATCATAAGCCACAGCAGTTATGGGATTCTGTTTTGTGGAGCGATGAAACAAAACTGGAACTTTTTGGCCCAATTGATCAGTGGTATGTCTGGAGGAAGAAGAATGAAGCATACACTGCATATAATTAAGCATGGTGTTGGCTCGCTGGTTCTCTGGGGCTGCTTTGCATCCTCTGGCAATGGAAACCTGCAGCGTGTGGAAGGCAAGATGAATTAATTGCAGTATCAGGAAATCCTAGGAGAAAACGTCCTGCCGTCTGTGAATAAGCTGAAGCTTGGGCGTCATTGGACCTTCCAACAAGACAATGATCCCAAGCATACTTCAAATTTCACCAAGACTTGATTGTAGAGGAAGTCCTGGAAAAAATCTACAGTGGCCATCACAGTCACCTGACTTGAACCCCATAGAAAATCTCTGATGGGATTTCTAGAAGGCGGTTGCAGCACGCAAACCCAAGAATATTACTGAACTGGAGTCCATTGCTCATGAGCTAAGATGCCTCAGGAATGCTGCCATAAGCTGCTGTCTGGCTATGCATCTCATTTGTAGCAGGTCATAAGAACAAAAGGGTCCTCTACTAATTACTAAAGATGTTTACCATGAAGGGGTTGAATAATTTTGAGACTGGAGAAGTCATTATAAGTTGCGTTTTCAGTTGAATTTGTGGAAACCACTGAAGCACCTTATAACAAAATACAGTATTTCAGCTGATCTAAAGCCCCTTTCAACTGCTCTTTCAAGTATTCTAATGAAGTTTCTCTCAGCACTCGTTGGAAAAAAAAAACTGTTTTAAGATGGAGAT